TACTTTATCTTGTTTTTTTTAATTTTTTATGTTCTTGTTTGTGTTGATTTTTTAAAATAATATTTATAGTATTTCTTTAGTTGCAATTGTGATACTTGTTGATTTTACACAAACAATAATTTTCTTTATTATTATTATTATCATTGTTATAACATTTATGAGAGACAGAATTGAATAGACATGCTGAAGGAATATCAACTATCCTGATGACAAGTGAAACTAATACTAGTCTTGACACAAGTCCTTGTTCAAGAATCTGTGAGCTAAGAGTGTCCATCTTCCCTGCTATTCCTGTTCTTCCAGGCTGTTGTCAAGTTCATAATTATCATTGCATATCATAAGTCATAACATTAATTAATTGTTTGTTTTTTAAAATAAAATAAAATAACACACTTGATAAAACAGTAACATGTAAAATCAATACCTTCTTTTAGCTGGAAACCTCCACTAAAGTATTGCAGTAAGTTGATTCCAAGCATAGCTTGGTAAAAAATAACTTGCTTCTTCCAGAGCTGCAGATCTGAGCATGCGCGACCACACCCAAATTTTGGAGCACATGGCAAGCTTCTTTAATTAACAAAATGGCGGCATGCAGCTAAGATGGCTCGATCCAGCAGTCACAGTATCTCTTTTTCCTTACTTGAAGAATGATTTGATGGGACATGGACCTGTGCATAAACTGTTGGAGTAGATTGATGCAAAAATTATCCCTGTAGCACCAACTGATACTGAGATACACACCGACAACTGGATTGACAGGACTTCTGACTTGATGATGAAGATGAAAAAAGGTGGCTGAACGAAACGGCCTGTTCGCCGATTTTTGGTTTTTCTCTTAGACAAGGTCTAGAGCCACGCTATGGGTACCAATGGAGTCCTCTGGTCAAGATAAGGTCCTCTATAAAGTCTGGTAAGCATAAGAGCTCGTTTTCCCGGTATAGCAAGGCTGCAAAAGTCGTGGCAGCCATTTTGTTTGGAGGCGAATCCTACTTAGTAACGCTACTGCGTTACTNAAGTCTTCATTAAGTACTTAGTAACTAACTCAGAGTACTTTATTAAGTTACAACATTTTGGTGATGAGGAGCAATTTGCAACTTTCCCAACTTTCCTTCGCAAGACACAACTTTCCCAAGTACATGTACAAATACATGTATGTGCAGCTGGTAAAGGTCAATTCTACAGCCAACAACATTCCAACAACATTCATAAGAAGTTGGCTGTAATGAAAAGAGGATCTATCGTACAGCAGAATTTTAGAAAGAACAAATTTTCATTTTCTAAAATTTTCATTCAAAATTTTGACCAACGAAACAAATGAAAATTAGTGCTCAATAAAAGTTATTATGGACACTGTTCAGTGACTCCACCCTTCCCTCTAAGGAATATATGAATATCATTATAATATCAATGAATTATTATTACCACACACAATACTCTACACTAGGATACTTCATTGGGACCATTCTTTATTTATTTTAGATCAGTTTTGTTTAATTTAAGTTCTGAGCTGTCATTTTGTACACGTAACATGAGGGAATGACTTATTTTCAGTTGGAGAATATTCATTTTACAAGGAATGAGAATGGAAAGAACTACATGAAACTCTGCCTGATATACAGTACCACTAGCTCTGGTAACACACTGTATGCTATCATAAGGTACAAGAGGAAATATTAACTCTACATGTATTATTGGAAACAATGATACATGCCACACCATGTACAGCACCGGTCAGCAATAAGTGGACAAACCTATGATATCTGAACTAGAGTAATATAGCAAATAAAATTAGTGCTATGAATGAGTGCTGGCTAGTGGCTAGCATGAAGGCAGGCAGGATTGCTGCACTAGTGACAGAGCTAACGATGCCTCATGTTAACACCCAAACACTGATTATAATAATACACAGCATGCATTATATACAAAGATAGTTCATGAATATTTATAAGTTCTGATGTGATGTCAGGATGAGTCAGCTCACTACAGTACCGTATAGCGGAAAATTTTGGAAAGGCTAAAATTTGGTGAATTGCTAAATTTTGGCAATTGGCGGATTTTAATTTGGCGAATTGGTGACCACGTGCATTGAGCATGCGTATAATGTCTTGAAATGGCAAATTTTTATTTTGGCGAATGGCTATCAAAACGCCAAATTCACAAAATTTAATTCCCTCCAAAATTTCCCGCTATACGGTAACTTGTTTGGTGAATGCAATAATACATGTACATGTAGATAAACGTAGATAGTATGTTGCCATGAAAATGGTAAGCTACACATGTACAGTATATACATGTATGCAAACTATAGTTAGTGTATATATAGTGGGTATTATATTGTACATAAAGGAGAGACTGTATAGGCTGAGGGTATGATCCGAGGTATGATCCCGCTCCAGATCAAACACTCATCAACAGTACACATTTTATCTTCACTAACACAATACATTAATCATATCCTCTACTAATACTACATATACTTACTGGAGTTCTACGAGTAGCCATGTTTAGTACAGTGTTAAGATGCTGAAAAGTGAGACAACAAAACAGTTAGCAGCAGCAGCTTGAGCAGTACGTCTCTTTCTAAAAGTGATAGGGCGTGTCTAACAATAATCATTATAGTGGGCGGCGTGTACCCACGTGTATACACGTGTGCTCGGCGTCCTTGTGCTTCTAGAAGACTGCATGTGATATCATCCTCTGAAGACTTAACAATAGTACTCAGTATCAGTCTCTGATCCATTGGAATGAATCTACTATTCAACAATCATTAGGAACCATTTTACACACCTGGATTTGTAGGCATGACTTGACGAACTTAGTTTTGAAATAAAGTAAATTTTTCAAACCAGTTACTGATAATATTTAATACCAGTGCATACTATCATTTAATATTGAATAAATATTTTATGAGTATAGTATTAGTACAGGGTCACTTGTCAAGTTTGTCAATATTAAAGATAAGAGAAACCTTCAATTTATAATTTTCCTGATGCATATACATGTACTTATATTGTGTAGAAGGTTTGAGCTGATTCCGATCAAAATTATATTTGGCTCCATTGCAGTTTAGGTCCTACCTCAATTAATTATTAAAAGTTAATTGATGATGTTACCATCATGAATATTAATGATTTACTAGGTTCTTAGGTTTAGGATTCTTATTAACGACCTTGGGGGCTACGCCCCCAGGTCGTTCCTATAATTGATTTCACGGTCGCGCTATCTATATATATATATTTATTTATTTATTTATTTGTATGTCCACACTTACATTTCTTCTATACATGTTGTATTGGAGAAATAACAAGCCTTAGCAACCACCCGCCCACGCTCCTTTAAGTGAGTGGGTGTGGCCACGGCAAACAAAATGGCGGCTTACACATGGGACAAAGTTAAGAGCTTTCTAACAGCAAGAGAGCATAGAGATACTGTCTAAAGACTTCTCTAGAAGCATTATAAGGTAGAGAGAGCCTCTATAAGTCTTAATAATGACCAAGTTGTACTTGCAAGGTGGTGAAATCAATTATAGGAATATTTTTTACCCTGTTACGCTTGTTTTTAGGTATTCTAGGTTTAGGGTTTTGGGTTTTAAAGTGGTTAAAAGTCGCTGTACTATATTGTATAAGGGTCACAAGCCAAATTTCACCAAATTTGAAAAGCAAAATTTTTTGCATTTTTTTCAGTTATATATATCATGCATAATTATACATACACTTATATTGCATAGTAAGTTTGAGATGATTCTGTTAAATATTTTGATTTTTGAAAAATTTTAAAAAGTAGCATCAATTTTGGCTAAAAAACATACTTTGTAAGTGATAATAAAGGTAGTACAAATTGGAGGTACAAATTGGAATAATTTTTTTTAAATGGTATAATAGCTCGAAAAAATTAATATTTGTCAGAATTTCCTCAAGCTTTTTACATAACCTAAGTACATGTGTAATGTATCAGAAAATGTAACAAAATTGGTTCTGATCTTGTAGCCATTTTCGGGAAAAACCATGTGCTTTTACTTTAGCTTTTGCTTTTTTCAGGAAATTTACTATTTTAAAAATTGCTGCATATCTCAAAATTAATTTTTTTTGTTAGAATCAGCATAATGTCAGTATTAATAATAATTAGTCATTTCTTATTTTTTATTATAGGTTGTGGACCTGAGGCTGAACTCATCATCTCAAGGACTGATCTCTCATTCATATACTGAAGATCTATAGACTGGGCTTAGGAACTAAGGACTGTAACACTATAAGACTGGTTTATTTAATTAAAATCATTGTTGACTTGTACTCTACATGTATGGCTGAAGTGTGTTTCTTATTTTATTGTCATTTTTCCTGATTTAATCTCATTTCTGTTTAGGCCCTTCCAACTAGATTATTAGTTTCCCATTACAGATCATGAATAATATTATTTATGAAGGTGGGGCAACTTATTATCTTATTATCTTATTATCTTAATAAAAATTAATTAAAAAATTTATTCTTAACAAAGCATCCTCGTTTAACAAAAGGTAAAAAAATACTAAGTCTTTCTCTTCACCAAAGTACGGTTCTTATTAATACACAACTGACACTGTGGATAATGTGCTGAATCACTAGTAGAGACATCACTCGCACAATAGATGCAGATAGGTGAGTATCCAGCTAAATAGTATAATCGCTCAATCGAATCAAAACAATGTAGACTCCTTACATATACAAAAGGAAAGTCCTCCAGAGTGTTCTCCATATTGGAGAGATCTGATCCACAAGTAAATGAGTAGTGTTCCAGTTGAGACTGGAGGTACTCCCTCTGTTCCTTAGATAGCTTTACTTGCGAATATACTATAAGCGCCACATCTGGCACTCATCACTACCAGTGTACA